GACTGTTTTTACTCAAATGCTTTCCTTAAATTTTATTTTACTGTATTTTCTCCACCACCATTTTTTCCCTCTATACTCTTTCCACATCCTCCCAGCTCCCCTCCCCCCTGCGCCCCTCCCCCACCCCGCCCAAATCCCCTGCAATCACCACACTGTTCTCAGTGTCCAGCCTCTTTTCAACAAGGGCTGTAGGCTGGCTCAACCTTCAGCCTGTGGGAGGGTCCAAATTAAGGAGCCTGGGGAGTGACAGAAGCTTAACTAAAATTGGTTAATAGGCATTCTTTTTTTTCAATCTACAGAGACAAGTAGTTCAGCTAATCATTTATAAGGCAAAGAATAAAAATTCAAGACTGCTTCTGAGCTTGCCACAGGTAAACAAGGAGGCATGCTTGAGTCTTATCTAAGTCATGAGAATTGATGTTTCTTTGCAGTGAACCATTTCTGAAACACAAGAGTGTGTTGGGTGGGGTATAGATTTCTTAAACCATTGCTGTTTTTTAAGCACATGGGGCTCAAATAAAATTCAATATCGTCAACTCTTTCCACTCTGTCAGTTTCCTCTTCCACTGCCCCCTCAGACTGCATGTTTGGGTCACATTAAACTAACTCTGGTATTTTAAGCATGTTCTGCTCATTTATCTTTCATTTGCAATATCCTCACACTTCCTCTGCTTGTCTAACCCTTTATCAGTCTTCAAAATCCAATTGAAATGTGGGTGAATCTTAGACAAAATGTTGATGGAAAAAGAGAACATATTATACGATTTCACTTATGTTAAGTTGTAGACTCAGAAAAATTAATCTATAGTGATAGAAGTGAGATCAGTGGTTGCCTGGGGCATAAAAGGAGGTATTGTCTGCAAAGGGGCATGAGCAACTTTCTGGAATGATAGAAATGTTCTATATATCTTGATTGAGATGGATATTTTAAATGGGTGCATTTTACTGTATATATTTAATGTAATAAATTTGATTTTTTAAAAAACCAGTAGGGATGTCACCTCCTACGTGAAGGCCTGCCTGACAACCATCACCTCTAGGCTTCACTCTATTAAGCATATATGAGGATAGGTTGAAATTTGTTTTTTACAAGCTTGTTTCCCCTGCTGGACTTCGAGAGCCTTATAATTAACATCTTTTGGAGTTTCTGCCCAGCTCACTTTCCCAGTTCTCTGGGTACTGCTGGTCCTCTAGCCATGTTTCTACCACAAATGCTACCTGTTCCCTCCATCCCACCTCCCATTCACAGTTGATTGCAGCTGAGGTGAACACAGGACAACTCCTTACCCTGAGTTTTGGACTTTTTAACTGATGCTCATAGAAAATAGGAATAGGAATAAGTCACATAGGTCAGTGACAGTGTTCTATAGGGAATTTCTCCTGTTGGGGTTCCTGTGGCTGATGTGGCTCAAGCCTTTCCTCAGGCAAATTCATCCAAAATATCACTGGATTCCACAATATACCTTGATAGCCATTCACAAAGCTGGTTTCTATCATTTCCAACCCTAAAGCAGCTCCATGTGGTTGAAATCATGTCTGCCTTGTTCTCCATTTTTTTCTAATGCCTGGACCAAGGACTGGCCCAAGAAGTGTTCAAGAAGTATTTGTTAAATTAACAGATGATGTCTGGGCATCCCAAATAGTTAGTCACTCAAGTCACAAATGTGCCTCCTTGTTAGCAGGGATTTAGAATGAAGCTCAGGGCAGAAGACCTGCCCTGCTGCCCAGGATGGGGGAGACAGACCTTTGAAGCACCAAGATGGTGGAGCATCAAGAAAGATGCAAGACCAGAAGCCATAAAAATGCAGAGGATGTTCTCAGGCACAGCAAGACAACAAGACAGTGATGCTTATTCAAGTGATTCAGGTCAGTCTACTTTCATTCTTATAGCTCAGTTAAAGAAAACACACTCCCCACAATAAGAACTGTATGCCATGCAACCTAGGTTTTGAAATCCCAAGACATTGTGGAATGGCATGTTGACAAATTAGATCTTAACAGTATTGTTTCTTTATAGAACTGAGTGTCACAGACAGGAGAGCCCCAGGATCTTTTTGTACTTTGTTACAACTATTAAATCTACCTGTTTCAAAAGAGAGACCAGCAATTTTCTGCAAGCCACTTAAGCCAAATGACCAATTTGTCAAATAGCCAATCTGCAGACTCATGGATTTTCTGAACAAACACTTTGCTAATGCTACCAGCTTCTAAGGTTTATAGCAATTTCTGTTGGATGGATTGGCTTCACAAGCTTTTAAAGATATATGTGCTATGATAGTTGACTGACTTTCATGTGTCTTCAGAGAAGCATTTGAAGGAATTTTCTATTTATCAAAAGCTAAAAAGATTTTATTCTTCCTTTGAATAAATTTATCGTATGAATACATTAATGACGAATATGTTCATGAATGTAGATTTTTCTTGAGTGTATACTATGCTCCCTGGTTTATACTTTTTCTATCCCCCACTCCACTTTTTCTTTTCTGTCTCCCTTCCCATTCCTCAATTTCTCCCTTTGACTCCCCCTTACCAACTCCACCTCTCTACCTCTTAATCTTCTCCATCTTCCCCTTAATCTTGTCTCTTCTCTGTCTTTCTGCACAACCATCTCCAGCTCTTTTCCTCTTCTGTCTCTCGGTATCTGTCATCTCTTCCCCTTAGTCTATCCTCTATGACCCTCTGTCTCCCCTGCCTGCTCTAGTTTTCTTCTGATTTCTACCCCTCATTTCCCCCTTCTTTTACCTTTAGTCTCCTCACCTCAATTCTCTGCTCTCCACAACTCAGCCTATCCCTGCAGGAGCAGTGCACTGGGGACAAGGCATATTAAACCTTCCTCAAGATGTGGCTGTGAAGGAAAAGGACGATCAGTTACTATACCTTCCCAAAAATTGTAGATCCTCATCCAATATGCATTGTTGTAAACCTTGTAAATATTTGAAAAGAAGCCAACCTTTGGTAAATTTGGCAAACTGGCCAAATGAGCTTTAAGCCTATGAAAAGAAAACCAAAGGCGCTTCTGAGCCTGCAAGTTCTTATCTACCTTCAAGGTCTCTATAAAAGCCTTCTCCTTATTTAAGATATTTATTTTAATATTTAGGGCAGAAAACCTGGTTTCAACTGGATTTTGTGCAGGCCATCAGCCACTGATTCTTTGCTGAATGTACTGGGACTGAGTTGTCTCATATAAATTTGGTTCTTTCATAAATTAAACATTAATTCAATCATCCAGATAGGAGTAGGAATAGAAGGCCGATACTATGGAAAGGAAGCCCATTCCATAATCAGATCTTACAGCTGGTCCTTAACCTCTCTGTGCTTCAGTTTCCCTGTTTGTGAAAACACAGAATTTCCCTCGTGAGATTGGTATAAAAGTTAAGTTAGATAACGATGGTAAAATACAAAACCTGGTACATAGTATATGCTAACTTGTTTGAAAACTACATGAGTCCCCTCTGTGTACCAGCCACACTACAAGTACTGTAAACACTGTATACAGTAATGCATGAACCTGGTTCTTTATGTTCTGACAATTTATGTTGATCTTTTCTTGTTCTTGTCAAACTCAAATCCAGGTCTCTTTGAACCAAAGTCAGAGCTCATACCCACTTCTCTTCACTAGCTGCCTTAACTGTTCATCAACATAAATAATGAGCACTTGGCCATTTGTCTGTGTAGACTGATCTTTTTTAGGTGTTCTTGGTCTTGAGGGATCCCAGGGAGGAACGTTTTCACAGGCCTTCTGAGAAACAGCTTCTGATTTGGAAAAAGACCAGCTGCAACTTCTAAAACCAGTATAAAAGTCTCCTTTGCTCCCACAGTTCTAAGCAAGAAGAGCTTTTGGGGATGCAAAGCAGAGTGAGATGAAGCTATTAATAAAATGTAAGTCCTTTTCTATAGACATTTACAAATGTGATTAAAAAAATCCAAAGAGAAACCCTATTTCAGCTCTTGTAACATTTGATAATACTTTCAATACCTCTCCATTCAAGAAACTCAGAATGGTGGTATTAAATAAGTAAAGCAATATAGTTTAAATATCATATTTTAGGTAGGTAAAAACGTCTCTCATTTTAACAGATCATGCAACCAGAAACACATGACACAAAATACCAGCTTGTATGGACACTCTGTTTGCTACATATATTACAGTTTAGCATCAAGTCTTAAAATATAAATCACCACCAGATTGCAATGTAAACACCAAAGTAAAACTATATATTTACATGCTTTTGCTAGTTTTTACTTGAGAGGTGTAACTATAATAGAACATGCCCACTTTTGGACAAACATGGCAGAACTCACCCACAAATAACACACTACCCCTTCAAAGTATTGCCTTTGATGGCTGCAGACATGTTTTATGTCAGCTGTTCCTACTCACAACATACTCTTTTGAGAATTGCTACCACTCTCAGGAATTGTGTGTGTGTGTGTACACTTAATGGGACAAATTTTTGCTTTTTGGAGAAAATATGTACAAGGAGCTGGAACCCCACAGGGTTTTCATTCTAGCTCTCCCACATAACTAGCTATGTGATCTTGGGCACTTCAATTCACCTTGCTGCACCTCAGAAAGTTTGCTTCTCTTGTTATACCACCCTCCTGTTGTGGGGAGGTCATTGGGCTTAAATGAGATAAACCTGGCACAGCACTCAAGAACTATGGCTTTCTTCTCCCATTCTCTTTTTAAAATGTTTCAATGTGAAACCATTAAAAATTCCTTTTCTCTTTTGAGGGCAGCTTTTATCATCCTTTTTTAATAGCTAAAAGGAATTTGGGGTTGAAAACAGTGGGTATGCAAGCTGCATCATTTCCTATCAACTCTGAGACATATATGAATAAGAATAAGGCAGGATTTCCAGGGTGGTTCAGACATTGGTTCTGGAGAAAGCCATACAAGAGGCTCAGAAGAGAGTGTTCTGAGAAGCAGCAGTCACAGTGGTACAGCTGTTATGCCTCTCAAGGTGACCCCTGGAAGGGGACAGCATCTATCTGCACGTGTAAGGTCTCTGCATAGTCATATAGCTCCATTCCAGGAGGTCTCTAGAGTTCTGTCTGATTCTCCAGGGGAACTCTACCCATGTGTCCCTTCAATTGCCAGTTAATTCAAGTCTGGAAGCTTGAATTAAAATGAGAGTCTGGGGCTCCCACATTTCCTGAGGAGTAGGAACAGTCATTCAGTTTCGCTTCTCTTGGAAATGCTCTACTTCATACTCAGAGTACTTTCTCTGCTGACCGCTGCCATCTACAGTTCTTCCAGTAGTGCCTAAGATCTTTCCAAACAACCCAGCCCCTAAGGCTGTTCTTCTGATTCCAGAAAGCCCAGGTACCTGGCAATTCGCAGGCCTTCACCCTCAGTTTTCTTCAAGGACATCCTAAGCAACAGTTTGTTGCACCTCCACTGTTGCCTCCCTTAGGAGCGAATGTGCAGAATTTTCTTGAATGCCTTCTTGAAGTTCTCATTGCACAAAGGATAGATGAGGGGGTTCAGTGTGGAGTTGATGTAGCCCAGCCAGATGGTGAACATGTGCACATGTTCATTGCAACAACTCTTGCAGAAGGCAATAACCATAAAGAAGATGAAGTAAGGAATCCAGCAAAGGATAAAGGCTGCCATGATAAAACCCAATTGTTTGGCAGCCTTCCGTTCTCGGTTCACATGCAACCCAGACATATACTGTCTCGAATGTGAGCGGAGCTTCTTCCAAGTTAACTTGATATAATTGAGGCCTGCACTAGACACACTTTTTTTTTTGTCTTTCCCTAATGCTGACTCTGGAGGGGTGTCTGAGTCTGTCGGAGAGAAGGACTGGCAATCATCTTGGATCTGATCCTCTGATATCTCTCTGGCTCCGTGCATGGTCAGGTCCTGCTCATTTATCTCAAGCTGGGTCAGGCTCTTGTTGATGGCTACATAGTCCCTGCCATTCTCCTCTGCCTCAGTCTGTGTTTGCACAACATTAAGTGAGACAGAATGGAGCTTGTCCTCCTCTTCATCCTCCTTTTGGCTGCAGACATCTGAGGATTTCATCTCCTTTGCCTCTTGGGATGGTGGCTTCAAGACAGGTCCACCACCAGCAACTTTTGGTTTCCTTTTCAGAATGTCCCAGAGAGACTTTTTCCTTGGTCTCTTGGCCCCCACTGTGGGGTTCTCTGGCTTCAGCTTAATTTCAGAGAAGGAAGGCAAGGATCCATTGATAAGTTCCCGGTGCTGACAGTGCTGCTGTACAGCCTTGTAGATTCTGGCATAGAACCAGAGCATGAGCAAGGTGGGCAGGTAGAAGTTGATGATGGCTGTCATGATCTTGAACCAGGTGACATCATAGAAGTCCGTCTCACACTTGTCCTTCTGCTGCTCTGGTGTCCCCGGCATGAAGTAATGCCAGCCCAGAATTGGAATGACCCAAAGGAAGGAGAGAAACCAGGCCCCCAAGATGGTGGCTGATGCTCGGGTCTTGGTGCGATACCTCAGGTACCTGAGGGGATGCCGAACAGAGCGGTAGCGATCAATGCACAAGATGAAGACGCTGAAAATGGACGCTGTGCTGGCCACATAGTCCATGGAAAGCCAAAAGCGGCAGAGTGACCAGCCCAGGGACCACTTGGACATGAAGAGGTAGAGGATGTTCATGGGCATGACAACAGCTCCCACAATCAGGTCTGCCACCGAGAGGCTAACGATGTACAGGTTCCCCACAGTGTGTAACTTTCGCTCACTCCGCACAGCATATAGGACCAACAGGTTGAGGCCCACTGTGACCAAGGAGATGGTGCTCAGGACCACTACCAAGGGCATCAGCTGAGGGCTGGCCATGGTGGTCTTGTTCCCTTCACACATCTTGTCTTCTGTGATATTGGAGGAATTGGGAAAGGTCATTGGCACAAGAGCAACCTCCAGCTATGGCTCACTCCCTGGGAGAAAAGACACAAGGATTAAAGTTAGAGTCTTGGTGATCAGTAGTTACTCAATCCCATCACACTGATCAAAACTAGGGTTGTATGCTCTCAGGGGCAGGGAACACTGCTGGTTGCCTACAGCCTATACCCCCTTCTTCCTTCATCATTTATTCCTTCCTTCATTTAATGACTATTTGTTGAATTACTGGCATTGTTCTAGGTGTTGGAAATATAGCAGTGAACAAAACTAAAATCTCTGCCCTCAAGGTGCTTACATGCTAGTTAGGGAGTTGGGCAAAAACAAGGTGAAGTATGTACAAGTCCCATGTTGCACATGTTCTGGGAAGGTGGGCTGCATCATGATTGGTCTAAGCTAAATATGGTGCTCTAGTTCCTCGTTGCCAGTGGCTGGTCTAGGAGCGAGCATGAGATACAACTGTGGCCAAGGAAGTAGATGAGAAAGTCTTTTGACATGGGGTTCTAGAAAGCTCCTCCTTTCTAACAAATGCTCAGAACAAGAAAAGGCATTATTTCCCACTTGCTGGTTGCCTTCCTTATAGGAAGTAATGCTTGGGGCTGTGGAGGTCATCCTGGGGCCATGAGGGAAACAGCAAGAAAACTACTGAGATGCTAAACCAGAAAGTCATGTTATAACTGAGTTGCTGAAGAGAAACCTGGAATCTCTTCCTACACACTGGTTATTATGGGAAGTAATTAAATATCTTCTTTGCTTCACTAAGTATTGTGGGAGTTTTTACTTGCAACTAAACGCACCCCTAAACTGATATGGAGGAGGTTACAAGAGCACACAAAGTGTGAAATAAAGTGAGCCCATCTCCTTAGACAAATGATCCTCAAACGGGGAGAGAGTTGTTATTTGAGGAAGGATATTTATTATTTATTATTTACTTTTATATTTGAAAAAATTTTTATCACATAAAACTATGCAAAGTCACATGTAACAGCACCTCTTTTGCTAGTGAGTCTATACTGAAAACAGATTGTATCCTGTTATTGGTAATCCTTAGTTGGGGTGGGAAGTAGAAGTAGGTATTAAAACTTCCAGAAGGGGTTGTCAGATTTTTATATTTATATTTTGTATTTTTATATTTATATTCTTTAAACTGGTGAGTTTAAAGAAAACTGAGAAACACTAATAGTGATTATAAATCTCTCTCAATAATTTAGAAAAGAAACTAGTTTCACGTTAAGGCAGAGCCAGATAAATTCCTGGCAAAATTCATATTTTTTAAGATAAAAATCAAAACCCCAAGGCATTTAGTTCTTGTGGAAGAAGCCTGTTGATTTACTTTGTTGGAAAAGCACCACTGGTGTGGCCTTGATTTCGCTCCAGCTCTGCCACTAATCCTCCGAGTGCTGTCTCAGCCTGCATTTTCACATTGGTCAAATGTGAAGGGTTGGGTAGGTGATCTCTTAAAGCTTTTCCAGGCCTCCTTTCTAGAGGCTTATTTTAGGTATTTTCCCTTGCTCTTCCCCAGCTCCAAATGACCTGTCAGAGCAGCCCTCTGACTTCTATGAGTGCTGCCTCCTCTCACTTCTTTAACAGCATCACCTTCTCCTGTGCCCCAGGCCTGCCCTCTGCTCCTGTTACTCTACGCTATCAGACCCAGAGGCCTTATCCACTCACCTCCACCCACCCCAGCTATCACCTCTGTCAACATAACTCCCAAATCTATAGCTTCAGCCTGTGCTTTTTCTTCACTCCTACCTCCAAAACCCAGTCAATACACTGGAGCTTCACCTTCAGCCCTGACCAAGCCAAAACCCCTTGTAATTGCCCCTGGTCACCTCAGGAATGAGAAAAGAAGGTGAAGCAGTATCATCTCAGGGATTTTATTTTTTATTGTTTTGATTGGGAGGAAGCAGGAAGTGGTTCCCTCAAACACTGCCATAGCTTGGCCTTCCCAAGGCAGCGCTGGCCTTCCCCTTCTAAGGAAGTGACTCATTTCCCTTTTCCTCATAACCTTGAGGACATTTCTCTCTCTCTGGCTCATTGCACACAGAGGGGAATCAATATTTTTTCCAGTTGGGCATAAACTCTCATTCCATAAGTATATTTGAAAGAAAATGATTTGTTTTTATATGCAAATCTATACGTTTTCCTTTTTCCATTAAAAAAAGAAAAGGTGTTAAAATTGAATTGACATCACTGAACTAAAAATTATTGCCATAAATTAAGTGTATAGTTTTGGGTGAAATCTGATGTTTGCCACTTACTTCGAAATGAATCAAAAAATATGTTGGATCGAGGACTGGTTGATGGATAAACAGATATGTTAAGCAAAAAGAGCAAAATGTCAGTTTACAACCTGGGCAGTGGGTATATGGATGTTTACTGTATAATGCTTCCAACTCTTCTATTTCACTGATAATTTTCATAATAAAATGTTGAAGAAAATTAATACAGCCTAAGTTTTTCTTCCTCATCAATCATTGTAAGCTCAACACTTTATCATGTTTTCTCCTTCATAGTGTGGATATGTTATTTTGCATAAACATAAGAGCATAAGATTAATAAATATTTGTTAAGTGAATAAACAGTGAAAGGCAGGATGGTCTGAAATATCTCAGCTCAGAACTTATTCATTCAACAGATATTGTCTGGTAAAAGCTTCCTTTCAGCTCAGTGGTCTGTTTCAGAAGCAAGCAAAATCTACTTTCCTCCTAAATCACAGGATTCTGAAAGAGGACTCCTGGAAAGGCAAATGCAGCACCCATGCTGCATACAAATGGCACTTGGAGGCTTACCTTCCTGAGGAACACTGAAGGGAGGGGCCGTCAGGGGAGAAAGAAAGATCCCTGGGGTAGGAACATATGACCTCAGCCCAGAGCCTGAAAAAAGCAGGTCCCACAGGGCAGGCCGCCAAGAGGGCATCAGGATTGGCCTCATCAGAGCCAGCTGAATAATTTGCAGGGCCCAGTGCAAACTGAAAATAAAATATTGTAAAGAATTTCAAGATGGAGATAGCAGAACATTAAGCCAAGCTTGGGAATCCTGAGCTCGGGGCTTGTGTGGCCGCCTGGGTCACAGGCTCACCAAGTCATTCCTAGTCTCTCTTTCTCTCACCCATTCCCTGACAGGCTCTATTCAGCGAGATAACTAACGTTACAGCATCCTGACAGAGTGCGGGAGGTATTGGAGGACACGGACCCTCATTTCGCCTACAGCCATGCAGGAGGCCATGCGCCTCACAGGCTGTCCAGACCTCACTGCTTTCTGAGCTGCCCTCTCTAGGGTCAAGGCCAAGCCTTCAGAGATGATGCTGTGATGCTGGCTGGTGAGAGAATGAGCTTCTGGGGAGAGAGAATGGAAGCTAGAAGAGATACTTTGGACAGGGCATTTTGAGAAGAAAGGTAGGAACCTGTGGGTTCTCTATAGCACTGTGTCTGTAGCAAAGCAGGTGATGGAAGGAGAGCCCTCACCCAGGCTCTGCCTCTCGAACGGGTTTGCGGAACATGAGTAAACAGCCAGGTGTCCAATTTCCTCGGCTGTCATGGAGGAAAAACATTGTGATCTCTCTCCTTGGACTGCTGAGAATCAGTAGAAACGGTGCTCGGCTAACCTCTAGGTAACTTCCACTTGCTGACAAGCATAAATGGACCTTTTTCTCTCAGAGACTTCTGTATACAAGCAAGGCAACTGGTCCATTCCAAAACCATTAGCTACAGTGCTGACTTTTACTAGAGTGATCACAAACAACAGACAGTCTAATCCAATCAGGCCCAAATGCCAAGCAGATAAACGAAGGTAGTTAGCATTCCTTTCACATCCTGGGAACACTGACTGGAGCAGCTTTGACAGCAGGAAGCCAAGCCCTGGGCTTTTCATATATTGGTTATTAAATGCCCACCCCAAACCCATAGGGAGGCCTTCTGATGATCCCTGAGAGAGGAGGGAACCGTCAGCTCAGGCTCGCAGGGGTCACATAGCTAGGAAGCAGTTGGTGAAGCCAAGACTCGAACCTAGGTGGATCTAACTCGGAGTTTCTTAGCCTTCAAGATTTTGAACTGGGTAATTCTTTGGTGTGAAGGGCTGTCATGTGCGCCAGTTGGATGTTTAGCAGCCTCCCTGGCCTCTACTCACTAGATGCCAGTAGCACCTCTCCCCCACTCCTAGTCATGACAACCAAAAATCTCTCTCGACATTGCCAGGCATACACTGGGGGGCAAAATCATCCTTTGTTGAGAACTAAGCTAACTGAAGAATATGAACTGCCAAAGAATACAGCTTTCAGCTCAAGGTAAGAAAAGACTTTCTAAAAACAAATGTTATCTAACAATGCAATGGAATGGCCTTGAGAGATAATAAGCCCCCTCACGATGAGAGGTATACGAGAAGAACTGGCCTGTATCTGATTCCAAAATACTCCTACTTTCTCAGTGGTAATTATTTTCCTAAGTAAAACTTGCAGATGTTGGTTTTAGATAAAAGAGACTGATGGGCAAGGCTCTCTGCTGATAGCCAGAAAGAGGAGGCAAGTAAAACCAGAGTGTTTGGGAAGATGCTCCCAGTGGCTTCACCCCTTTCACTTTCCCTCCCATTTCCCTCCGCAGGTCCACAGATGACTTGGAACTCATTTGAGTGATAGAATTGGGCAGCAGTTAGGAACCCAGGTGCATTATAAACTAGTAAACCTCTGCTCTAATCCTTTTTCTGCCCCAATTAGTTGGTCAAGATATTTCACTTCACCAAGACTCAGCTTTCCTCACCTCTAAAATGGGGATAAAGCAAGCACTTTGTATAGCATCTGACAAACAGGAAGTGCTTAGTACACAGTCAGTTAATAGTCACTGTTGTGTTTTCTTCTATTTCTTGGTGAGTGACACAGGGATCCCAAGCTTTTTTTTTTTTTTTCCTGAAAACTTGATTGTTAGAAATTTCTTTCATGGTAATTCAAAACATGAATAAGAATTTATGCAGAAAGATGCACACCGCAAAATTATTTATGACAGGAAATGATCTAACATTTGGGAACTAAATATATTAT